AATACCTCTTCATTTCTAACCTTTTCTACCCACGATATCCTCATCATCCGCCTATAACACCACATTTCGAACGCTTCTAACCTTTTCTTTTCCGCCGCGCCCACTGTCCATGTTTCGTACCCGTACAATGCCGTGCTCCAAACATACACCTTTAACAACCTTTTTCGAATTTCTAAATTAACCGTTTGCGAGCATAGAAGTGACTTCTCTTTATTAAGGGCGACACGACCCTGCGCTATCCTCTGCTTATTGACTGTGAAAAAGACGATATAATAGTGTTATTGATTTTTTGTAATAAGTACCATTGCGTTTGTTTTACAAACATTGCGGATTTGTCTCACCGTTTACACTTCTCTTTCTGCCCTAATTTTATCAACTGCCTTGTATCGACTATATTCTGTTGGGTACTGCTCACTTATGTATATGGTCATGGAATATTCCTGATTATTTCAGAAAACTTCCCGTGTTAGTTTGTCGCGGTCGTCTTGAAGGCCGTCTGATTCTTGACCAGCGGCTCTTGTGTTCAGTACATCAAAAACACCGTCGGTATCGATCGTCTGCGGCATTCACTTAGAATAAAGTGTAGATATGCATATTTCTATAATTACTAACTATTCTGTAAAATTCTGTTTAGGATCTTTTTAATCAATACGTAGAACACATTTTTTTTTCCAACCGCGCAGTTTTTATATTAATTATTATTTTTATGTCAATAATTGAAAAAAATAAATATTAAATATTAATGATGAGATGATAATGACAATTAAAACGAGGCTACTGTTATTTTTTTCCAATTTAATTTGTTTTTTCACGGTTTCATCATGCCTAATATTATTTGTAATAAATTAATGATTAAGGTGTGATTCTCTCGGGCGCCGAAAATGTTTTTTTATTTCAGGCAGGGACTAATTAATGAGGAATCGGGGTTAGTATCGTGCGACTGCGAAATATTTTATTATACGATTATGTCCTGCAGCGTTGGAATTACTGATAATCATTGGTGAAGAAGTCGCTTTCAGAAATCAGCGGGCAATATACTTACTTATAAACCTCTGCCTCCAAATTCAGGAGTGGAATAATTTATTCGTTTCATGTACTTGTCCTGTAATAAATTCGCCGGCCGTTTTCGAATTAATTTAGTTATAATTTACTTCGCATGCTTTCACAAAGTGGTCATAAAATTTTAATACATACATACATGCATATCTGTATCTACCCACTTTTCCGCATTAAAACCTATATTTAAGATCGTCTATTTATTTATATCTATGTCAAAAATGAAGCAGTTGCTGAACAGGTCCGTATTGAAACCATTTAATTGTTATTTTTTAAAAGCCTAATACTGCTACTAAGTACATATTTTAATTTTAATGTCTAGTTCTTTTAAGCATTTATTACTTCTCGGTTTAATTGAATTTCCATGTTGAACTTGAAGAAGATACAAAGTTTTTCCATAACATATGTACCTAATTTTCCGCATTAAAATGTATATTTATGATCGTTTATTTATTTATATCAGTCTTAGGACTGACGACCTTATGATGATATGGTTGTTAAAAAAAATTTTATTATTTAACCCTATATCTCTAAAAGCATTCTAGTAAAAGTAGATACACATTTTCGCTTTTATGTTAATATAAGTATTTGTGTATTTTCACCAAACTCATATTTGTTTCAAGTAAAATATTGCAATTGTCCTTTTTTATGCTTTTTAATTTGGTCTGGGAATAACCTATCTGTGTGGCCTAAAAATGATCTCCACAACTCAACATAAAAATTCTGTATTCATACTCTAATTCGTAAATAGGATTACAAGAAGTAAATGCTTCATATTTACGTGTAATTTCCCTTAATAAGCTAGTAATTAATAATTATTATTGTTGATGTGATTTATAACCATAATTTAGTCTTTTACAATATGAAAGTAAAATTACAATTATAAATAATAAAGACTTACTTGAGTTTGGAGTAAAAGCATACTTGACTGAGGACTGCTTGGAGCTGAAGGCTGCGCGCTCGCCGCCACCAGAGGGGCACTTGTAACGTCGCCCTGTACCAAAAGAGTACCTGGAAAAAAATAAAATGATATTGTCAAAAAATTCACACTCAAAAGTAACCGAGAAGTAAAGAAAAAGCGCAGCCAAATGTTAAAAACAAAAAAGGAAGAAAATTATAAGGTACCATAAAATAAACATGCCCGATTAAATCTCCAGGTGTATTGCCTATTTTTGGTGATAATTGTTAGATTAAACTACTGATTGTCAGTAATAACATTAAGTAATTTTTACTAACTAGTTCGTTTCGCCTTTTAATAGAACTTCTTTATTATGCAGTACCTAAGAAAGTGTAACAGTGTTGTACGTAATTATTGTGACGATTTACTATCCCGATAGCTACTTAATTATGTTGTAAACATGATTTCATAATGTAACTTCGTGTAATCTAATCTTTGTTAGCCAGTTTTTACAGTATAAGCACAAATTCAAACAGAAACGCAAAAAGGTACAATTTATTGTATTATGCAGCATCTAATTGAATAATCGCATATGACTAAATTAATTCCTCTGAAGTAACTTCCTGTTTATCGATTGGTTTTAACTAATTAAACAAGAATTTATACATGAGATAAAACAGACAATTAAAATTCATTGAGTTTTTTGTTAAACGTAGTTTTTCTATTTTCTCATTGATTCTATTTAAAGAACAGACACTTGGAACAGCCGCAGGAGTAATTTTTCGCCCATTCAAGGTTTACGAAGAGAAGTGACCAAAGCACGTAAAAAATAAAAAATACAATAAATTTAATATCAAGTTATAGACAGTATATCGCCATCTAGTGATATTTGCTACTTTATTTTCTTTAATGAAAGATTCTTTGCATTCGTATGGTATCTTCTTCTTCTAACTTCTTTTTCTTATTTTAATCTTCGTATTTTTCCTAGTATATAAGGTGTTTATCCGAAGATAGAGTTATGTACTAATATTCCACGGTAATTAAGTTATTAAATGAAAAATATTACATCAGTTTCGCAGCTGCAAGCGCTACTTTGGTTGTTCTGACAACATCGTTACGTCACAACTTATATCCGACCTAACAACACATAAACAAATAAATCATGTGGCTACAATAAATGACAAATAAAGTTAATAAACACACCCTGCGAAATCTGTATGTAAGTTAAGTCAAGTGAGTAAAGTAAAACTCATGTTAGGCCTCGTGTAATGTTCAAGTAAGAAATTTTCATTGCAAGATTTTTGATATGCTGTTACATACATAGCTAGTATTACAGGTGGCACGTGGGCAATGAATTGTCTTGTTTATTAAAATTCATTTATGTAAGTACCAGTTTAATGGAGCTACCGAAATATATGTCGTTTCAGGTAGCAAGTGGCGTGGAAAGTTTACGAAACTGCTCAGCGATAGTGATAATATCACCCAGGTATTATAATGCACAAAATTTCCGCGAAATTCGCCTATAATGGCTCCGCATATAATGTAAGTCATAACTGTAACACAAGTTTCTGGAACTGCTCAGCTATAGTAATAATAATATTCGGTATATTAATCCCAATAAAACTTTGGTGAAATTCGCTAATACTAAGCCTGTATACAGTGAAATAGTTTACAGGATTCACTTACAATAATATCAGCAAGATATATCACATAATCGGTGAAATTCGCTGAATAAAAACAGGTCGTAACTGTAGCTGACAGTTGACAATTACTGTATTATGGAAAAACACATGTTTCGGTCTGTTCAAAGCGATTCTGGTTAATGTAACCAACCGCTTATAACGTTACATCTAGATAAATCTGAATAATCTGACGACAGTTACAAGGGTTTATTATCATAAAAGGAAAAGATTTAAGATCACCGAGACAGTTTGACTTTGAAGTCCGCACTTTAAAAGTATGTTCTATTCCTTTAATTTTTGAAACTAAAATCTTGAAGTAGTTTAATCAAAAAAAATTACGAAAACTATAGCAATCTTCTATAGGTTTAATAAATTTTAAAAAATTGTGAATTCTCTTTAAAGAAGTTCCTCAACTTATTCTAATTAATTTGTTTGTTAAAAATTTATTGATGGAATTAATTGATGGGGCATGCTTTTTGCTATCTTGCTCGTGGAATCACCAGTTATAATGAGCAAAATAGCAATAATCTGTTATTTTTCAGTTAATGCTTCAAAACGCTTGCGATATCTCACTGTAATAAATATTACCGCAATAAAATGTTCCTCATATTGTATCTACTAATTTCTACTATAAAGAAGCAGCTGACAACAAAATAATTCATTTTATAACCAAAATACAAGACAACCGACCAGTCAAATGATAAATGGCCACCTATTTTAAGTTATTTAATTAATTAATTCAGGACCTAATTAGCAAACAAATATTATTCTATGTCATGACCGCTGAACGTGCGCCATATATTTACGAATGAAGAAAAAAGTTTTAAAATTTTAATAAATTAAAAGTGAATGTATAATTTTATTGATTTTTTGTAAAATAAAATTGTGAAATAATCAGTTATATCATAACGTGGGGTGCTGAATAGATATTGCAGCTAAAATGCATAAAAAATTGAATAGAATTTCAAACATCTGAGTGTCTACTTCCGCACTGTTTGAAGATTTATTCGCTCTTGATTGCCGATAAATATGTTTGTCCCTACTTTTAGTAATGAGAATAGCGCCACAGATTAATTTAGACTAGCTAGTTCTGGGAACTCAATTTCATGGATATCACTGAATGTTTCAGAATATACTGAAGGAATGAATTTGCCTTATTCTATTTAAGTCTTGATATGGAAATGTACGGGTGCGAAACATGGACAGTGGGCGCGGCGGAAAAGAAAATGTTAGAAGCGTTCGAAATGTAGTGTTACAGGCGAATAGTGAGGATACCGTGAATAGAGAATGTTAGAAATGAAGAGATATTAGAAAGAATAGGAGAACAGAGGACTATATGGAAGTCAATAAGAAATAGGCGAGATAGGTTAGTAGGACACCTTCTCAGGCATGAAGGTCTGGTCAGATACATATTAGAGGCAGAAACGGGAGTTAGGAGGGGTAGAGGTAGACCTAGATTACTATTCGCAGATAGTTAAGGATATGGGTTGTTCTAGTTTTAGGGAACTACGAAGATTAGCTCAGGATAGGAAAGAGAGGTACATGTCCAACTAATCTCTGACGACCTCATGATGATGATGGAAATGTGAAATAGAAATACGGATTTTCTGGTAGCAATCGATCGCAGCTTCAAAAGTATATTTTTTTTTAGATAGGTGCCTATTCAAATTAAAAACTGATGTAGGTACGATAAGAACTAGAATATTTAAAAAGCGATGATGAATTTTTTACACGATCGCGGAAATACATTATGTGTATTATTTACCATACACTAAAAACTAATACACGGCTTGGGATTCCGCGATTATCCAATTTATCTGCCGAAGAAGTAGCCGGCCATTAAGATTCAAAAACTTACGTGTTACACAACAAAAAAAAAGAATGAAACAAATGAAAAAACAAAGCTTTTTGATCATCGATAGTATGCATCATTCCGGAAATGTTTGTTATGGGAATACGCTGGTTTTGTTTGTATAACAGTAAAATTGCTTGTACACGTTGCCGTAGTAGTGACCAGAAAAAAAAAACGCGTAGGTTCAAGGTCTTCAATTAGAAGTCCATTCTGAGAGTTGAGATTAATTGTTGGATGACATCACTAGTTTATAGCTTCAGGTAGCCAACAATATTACACGATAATAGCCGATGTATCGCATATCAATTATTACTGTTGACCACACAACATATGACGACTAGACGAAGCGCTACAGTGGAAAAAACTTGGTAAATATTTACTATTACCTCTACTGTAAAACATCACAAACATAGTAGAACAAGATAATCACGGTGCAACAAAGCACAAAGAAGAATTCCTCTTTGAACATGTTTCAAGAAAACTTCCTAAATTTAGTATAGCCGAATTCTGAATAGTAAAATCAGCAACTAAAAAAGAATTTGTAAAATAAACTATGTAATTTATATCGTAAAATTTGTAAATGAAAACTTGAGTAATATTAATGTACAATAAAAATGTTTTATTGCATATATTAAACACCTTAATGTGATCAGTACAGTTATTCTTCGTGCATCGATTGGAAACATTCGGATGAATTCAGACCAAACTTTACCTACTGTCTTAACAGCGCGTTTTAGAAAATACCACAAATGGCGTGGTGAGCGCCATCTGTAGTACGATGCTACACGTATAAGTTATTTTTTCTTTTGAAGGCTGCTCTGATTTAAAATTTTATTTCGCATTTAATCTTATAATAAGTACGAGCTGATCCTTTTCCGATATACTTTACAGGATAACACTGTAGTCGGGTATCGTTTACTTAAGTGACGGTGGCTCCAGGGAAAACACAGAAAATACTTTCGGGGCGGTGGAGGTTTTCACAAAAAATATTAGAAAAAGATAAAAACTTTTTAGAATTGCACACGTCCAAATCATGAAAAAAAATTCTCATACGTTCAGTACTTATAGGTTTTACACTTTTTGGTACATAAAAAATAAAATCAATTCTTCAATAGGACAGGACTGTTGGTTAACAGAAAGAATATTGTAAATGGATGAATACTAACTGATATGAAATGCCTACACAGGGAAAAATCAGCTATTAGTAAGGGATAAATACAAAATTGGAAAAAATATTAAACTTAGCAAAAGTAAATAATGTTTACAAATAATTTATTTTGTGTCACACATTTAACACTACCAGTTTTGCTGGAGTAGTTACGTCAAAAACCGAAATCTAAAAATTATTTATAAATGTACAGCAATCTGTTTTATTACTCCTGGTCCCTTCGGTTTTCTGGGCCCAGCATGAAAATGAACCTGTCGTCGGTAACAAATGTAAAAACTGAAAAAGTGGTTTACGTATTTTACTGTTATTTTTAATTTTATACTAACGCAGATGTAAATTCTACACAGCACTTTCAATAGATGTTCTCTTAATAGTTTTAGTGTATAACAATTTAGACTCATTCTATCAACA